ATCTACGCTCGGACTATCTGTGCTCGGACTATCTACGCTCGGACTATCTACGCTCGGACTATCTACGCTCGGACTATCTACGCTCGGACTATCTACGCTCGGACTATCTACGCTCGGACTATCTATGCTCAGACTATCTATGCTCAGACTATCTACGCTCGGACTATCTACGCTCGGACTATCTATGCTCAGACTATCTACGCTCTGACTATCTACGCTCGGACTATCTATGCTCAGACTATCTACGCTCGGACTATCTATGCTCAGACTATCTACGCTCGGACTATCTATGCTCAGACTATCTACGCTCGGACTATCTATGCTCGGACTATCTACGCTCGGACTATCTATGCTCAGACTATCTATGCTCAGACTATCTACGCTCGGACTATCTATGCTCGGACTATCTACGCTCGGACTATCTACGCTCGGACTATCTATGCTATCTACGCTCGAACTATCTGCGCTCGGACTATCTACGCTCGGACTGTCTACGCTCGGACTACCTATGCTCGGACTATCTGCGCTCGGACTATCTACGCTCGGACTATCTACGCTCGGACTATCTATGCTCGGACTATCTGCGCTCAGACTATCTACGCTCGGACTATCTACGCTCGGACTATCTACGCTCGGACTATCTGTGCTCGGACTATCTACGCTCGGACTATCTACGCTCAGACTATCTACGCTCGGACTATCTACGCTCGGACTATCTACGCTCGGACTATCTACGCTCGGACTATCTATGCTCAGACTATCTATGCTCAGACTATCTACGCTCGGACTATCTACGCTCGGACTATCTATGCTCAGACTATCTACGCTCTGACTATCTACGCTCGGACTATCTATGCTCAGACTATCTACGCTCGGACTATCTATGCTCAGACTATCTATGCTCAGACTATCTACGCTCGGACTATCTACGCTCGGACTATCTATGCTCAGACTATCTATGCTCAGACTATCTACGCTCGGACTATCTATGCTCAGACTATCTACGCTCGGACTATTTATGCTCGGACTATCTACGCTCGGACTATCTATGCTCAGACTATCTATGCTCAGACTATCTACGCTCGGACTATCTATGCTCGGACTATCTACGCTCGGACTATCTACGCTCGGACTATCTATGCTATCTACGCTCGAACTATCTGCGCTCGGACTATCTACGCTCGGACTGTCTACGCTCGGACTACCTATGCTCGGACTATCTGCGCTCGGACTATCTACGCTCGGACTATCTACGCTCGGACTATCTATGCTCGGACTATCTGCGCTCAGACTATCTACGCTCGGACTATCTATGCTCGGACTATCTGCGCTCAGACTATCTGCGCTCAGACTATCTACGCTCGGACTACATTCGGACGCAAAACTAGCGGTAATTTTTCAGTTATGTATTTTTTTTAGCAGTGCGTTGCTTTTGTACCATTTCATCAGTGATTGTTGTACAGCTTAAGTTGCGCTAATGCTAATGTTAGCATACATAGATCGCAAATTAAACTAGATGGCTCCGAGGGATGAGAGCGTCGGGGAAATGAGAAGCCTGTGAGCGAGTTGGGGGCGGGGCTAAACATTCAGACCTGCAGAAACGGGTAAAGCTCCTTTAAAATGAGCTATGTTTATGCTCAGAAAGATGTTCTATCATACATACATTCCAGGAAAACCAACTACATTGTGATCTTGTAGTCAGTATTTGTCAATCACAAATATTGACAAGCTTATCACAGCTCAGTATTCCACAAGCGCATTTGCAGTCTCTTGAACTCGATATATCTGTATCTCTGGGACTGTTGAATGTGATATTCACTTTGGGAACTTTGCAAACCTCAGGGTGAGCAGGAAAAAGAGATTATATAATTATATAAAGAGAGGTTTTATTTGTTGATTTTCATAATGCCTGAAGAAACAGTTGAGAAAAACAAGGATGTGAGTGTTCCAGAGAGCTGAGCACTTACATAACCCTGTGCCCACCCAACACTGTGGCTTATTTAAAAAAAAGAGACAAGGCACGAAGAAATGAGCAAGAAGGAAAGAAGCAGCCAAATCATATTCTATTCCCTTTATCTAGTCTCACCTTGATCACTGAAATGTATTGTATGTACAGTAGGTATCAACCAAATCCATACTCATCATCTCCAGAATGCAGCTGCTTCTCACACACACACACACACACACACACTTGATGATTTAGATTTAGATTTATTAAGGGAAAACCCCTTTAGATGCAGCATCTCATTTTCGAGAGGGTCCCATGAACATAAAACAAACTAACACAATACATATAATACAGCACAATACAAACAATTAACATTTATACATTTAACACAGGTTTGTTCCCTCAGATCCATCATTACTGTATACAATATAGTCAAATACAGGCCATACATACTGCGGGTGATAATAATACAACTTAAAATATACATCCATAAATTACAAAATAATAATAAAAAATATATATATATAATAATAATAAATAATAAAATAAAATAAAAAACAGCTAGTAACATGCACAGGGAATGGTAAGATATCTAGATAATTCCAATTTAAATAAGCCAAAGGAGGTTAAGGATCTTATGTATGTGGGTAACTTATTCCAATCAGATGGAGCCTTGTATGAAAAAGCTCTACTTCCAACTTCTTTATGGATTCTTGGAACAGAAATGATGATGATGTGAAAGTGCCCCTCGGGAGAACAACACTCAGACAGTCGGTCTTCTCGGTCCAGGAGGCAAAGCTCTGGAACTGTTTAAGTCCTCAGCTTTAACTGAACTCGGACGGGGATGGTTTTAAACACAAACTGAAACGATTTATTAAAACAAACCAGTTGTGTGAATATTAATGAGTTACATTATACACCTGCTTTTGTATAATGTGAACGCAACAATGTAAATTATGTTTTTGATTTGTGTTAAAAGCCCTTGTATGGACAGACATTAAAAATTAGCTTGGCAATAAATGTTGATTGTGTACACATGTCCCTAATAAATAAATAAATCAATAACTAAATGAACGACATTACCCCAGTTCTCAAGTCTCTGCACTGATGTAAGTGAAATATTTGGCTATTGAAAAATCAGTGGTTGTGCTGTGAAGTACAAAGTTGTCATGAAGGTGAGGTTTGTGTGCCTTGCCGTGTCTGTGAGAGACTTCCATATGTATTGTACACTTTGAAAATCAGCTTTACATGAATGACTGTGTTTTGATGTGACCCACAGGTCTCCCCTCACTGTACAAACCATGCCCTGTCCTACTTAGCTTCAGAGGTTTCACAGGTGGCACCACATCGGGAGTGATTAATTTGAGCATAAAACAAAAAAAAACATGAAAACTCCACTCAGAGAGGCCCTGGTCTGACCGGGACTCGAACCCAGGACCTTCTTGCTGAGAGGCGAGAGTGCTATCCACTCGATATGAACATTTATTTTTATCAAGAGTTAGTCATCATGTTGTGGTCTGATTGTACTTTTGACTTGTTCTGTTTGTGGTGGAGCCTTTGATGTGAGACAAAGGGGCGGGTCTAAGGGGCATAAAGGGGCGGGTCTAAGGGGCATAAAGGGGCGGTTCTAAGGGGCATAAAGGGCAGGGCTGAGGGGTATAAGGGGACTTAGGGAGGAGCTACCCGACTTACTACTTCTATAACATCGTATTATCTCAGTCTAAACATTTCATATATTTACTATAACCATATCTTTGATGATGAAGAGCCACTGGGGTCAGGGGTCATAGATGATGGAAAGAGTGAGATTGAGCAGTGCCCTACTTCCCTGTGTTTCCTCTGGCACATTCCAAACAGTTAATATTTTGAACAACATCTTTTGTTTGGCCCACAACACTTTCTGGAAATCTACCTTCAACTTTCCAGGAGTTTGTTTGAACACAAAACAAAGACACATTGACCCACATTTCTATTTTGGAGCAAGAGTGATATTCAGAGGGCTGAGATCACATATGGAGGTTTCTTCTATGAATAGATTGTCCTCAATTTGACATTTTTGAGAAACACATTATTCCCTTTTTTTCAATTCATCCGAACAGTCGCTCTCAGGTTGGAGTTGATATAGTTGTGCTGCAGATTTTTGTCTTGTCTATTCTATTTTTATGGAGACAAAGGAGAAGCACATTGATGACAGTTCATACATAACTTTACAGATTTACGACAGAAAGAGTCATGTAAAAGTAATGAAAGAAAACAAGTTATCTCTGACCTCTGACCTTACGACGTCACTTTGCTACTGTCACTGTCTATTGTGTGCACCTAATGAACTTATATTGAAGAAATGTATGTAGATTTGTATTTATGCAAGCCTTCTTGTTTTTATTCTGATTTCACTTGTTTGCACCGAGAGCCAAAGCAATTTCCTAGTTTGTGACTTCCTGTTACTCACACGGCAATAAAAGGATTCTGATTCTGATCTGAAGACAACTGCTGCAGTGATTTAGGTTTATCCAAAGTTGAATTGAGTTGGATTACATTTTTGACCACCCACTCTCCTCCAGTCTGCTCTCAGCCCCAGCCTGAAACAGTGACTTAGAGAGCGAGTTGAAGCAAAAGATAATAAGAGGAAGACAGAATATTGTGATTTAATTAATTTGCAAGATATACATTTTATATTTGACGATTTATTGTTTATGCACACAAAAAATCCAGGCACTTTAATTTCACATTGCAAAAAAAAATGAATGAAGATGGATGTCCATTGGGGCGGTGTATAAAGTATTTCGAAATGAGAATGAAGTCGATACAAAACGTATGAGCCTGAAGGTTCATTTTGATAGAGTAACAATATTAAAACGCTCACAGTATGTCCTTTTCCAAACTGCCGATGGAAATGACTGGATCCTGCTCCACGGCGTTGTGTTTTGGGGCTCGTATCCACATGACGCCGCTCGGACAGCTCTCTCCAACACACTGCTCCGACCTTGGAGATGTGCCTGTTCCTGTCTGAGCATAAATCAAAGCTGGCAGACCACATCACCGCCACATCGCCATGGTAACGGATGTGAGTAACCTGATGCCCGTGAGAGCCGTGCACGTGAACGAGAGCCCGGGTTTGTGTTTTGATGGTGGTTATGAATGTGTTTATTACTGAGACATGTGATTAGATTGGACTGAAAAGAGCCGTATAGTGGATTATTGGATAATACAGTAAAGAATATGGATTTTATCTATAACACACCTTATGCAAACACAACTCAAAGTTCTACGGCAAGTTAAAAACACAATCAATACATCTGATGAAAAACACGTACAGACAACTATAAAAATGCATTAAAAGGCAAGGCAAGTTTATTTGTATAGCACAGTTCAAAAACAAGGCAACTCAAAGTGCTGAACAAAATAAGAAAGCATTAAAATCATAAATAGTCACAGAACCTGGTTTTAAACATTGTCAGAGAGAAGGCCTGTCTCACATCTTCAGGAAGATTGTTCCAGATTTTAGCAGGTCGTACTTCCTGGTTCTTGTCAGGACTAATGTGGTCGTACTTCCTGGTTCTAGTCAGGACTAATGTGGTCGTACTTCCTGGTTCTAGTCAGGACTAATGTGGTCGTACTTCCTGGTTCTAGTCAGGACTAATGTGGTCGTACTTCCTGGTTCTAGTCAGGACTCGAGCTGCTGCATTTTGAATGTACTGCAGCTGTTTTACAGCCTGTTTGGACAGACCTGTGAGCAGGCCATTGCAGTAGTCTAACCTACTGGAGACAAATGCATGGATAAGAATCTCCAAGTCTGCTTTAGACACTATGTTTTTGATCCTGGCAATGTTTTTTAGATGGTAAAAAGCTGCTGATGTTACTGATTTGATGTGGCTATTAAAATGTAAGTCTGAGTCCAGTATTACCCCTAGATTTCTGACCTTGTTTGAAGGTTTTAGGGAGAGAGACTGTAGATGACAGATGACGCTCTCTCTTTGTTTCTGGACCAAAGACAATCATTTCAGTTTTGTCTGCGTTTAGCTGAAGGAAGTTGTTTTGCATCCACTCACTGATCTGTTGGATACAGTGAAGGAGTGAGTCCACTGGTCCATGTTCTCCTGCAGTCAGTGAGACATAGATCTGAGTGTCGTCTGCATAGTTATGATAGGACACTTTGTTTCTGCGTATAACTGACCTAACGGCAACATGTAGAGAAAAGGCATGGGCTGCAAATCTGGAGTAGGTCTGATTTGCGTGTTTTAAGGTGCTTTTTAAAGCACTTCATAGACTGTAGCACCTGTAAGTTTTGTGGCAGAGTGTTCCAGAGGTGTGGAGCTGGTGCTGAGGGTCAGGGTTTGCACTGCTCTTTCCTTTATAAAAATGTCCTTGTAAAATAATGTTGGAACAAAAACCACTGCCGTAGCCCGTTATAATCTATGACTTTAGAAGGCTCAATTTGTACAGATTCCTGTCATCTGATTGGCTGAGGGATTTTTGTTTTGTTTTCATTTTTCTGTCTGAAAAGGTTAATCTAAAGATGAGACCAAAAATACATGCACGTAAAACCAGTAATAGAAACAAACTATTTCCTCGCTGTCTCGTTTAGAGAGCGAGGAACCAGTTACATGATTTCATCGAAATGAGGAACTACAATTTTACAATAATAATAATTGTTTCTGTCTTTATCCAGTATTACTCCCAAACTACCACATTTCGCTGTATGTACTAAATACTTTCACGCAGAACCATCAAATGTCATACTGTTGTAAAGTTAAGCATGAACCATTTCCCAAGAATCAAAATCCCTCCAGCAATCTTTGGTTAATCTTTCCCCGAAAGCCGCTTGAAGCCGTCACGTCGCTTTGTAAATTCCTTAACTTGTTGACGCATTTCTCCAGAAGTGAGAGATTTATTCTGTTCTGAGCAGAGGCCGTTATATAAGACAAACATCCTCAAGGACAGCGGATGTTTCCTCAGTCACACAAAACCATACACACGGGAAATTTGTGTGAGAAAGCAGGTTTTCTCATAACAAATACTGCAGGGGATTGGTTGACTTCAGCGAAAGTAAAACGGGTTGAATTGGTGCAAAGAGGATTATGCAAAACGGTCCTTTTTGAGCTCATCAAAAACAGATTTGAAATAGTTTGCTTTAGTTCAGCATGTATGAAGCTTCAAACTAATTTTCCCTTTGATTTAAACATTGAAATGACTATAAACCATATTTTATTTAGATTTTGGATTATTATTATTAGGCCCCTATAGGGTAGAGGGCCTATATCTTTGTCCAGGTAGTCCTCACTGCCATACGGACACATGTGTTTGGGGGACTTCGGAAACCCGGACCCCCACAGCTGACCACATCACCCCCACATTGCCCGGACCCCCACAGCTGACCACATCACCCCCACATTGCCCGGACCCCCACAGCTGACCACATCACCCCCACATCACCCGGACCCCCACAGCTGACCACATCACCCCCACATCACCCGGACCCCCACAGCTGACCACATCACCCCCACATTGCCCGGACCCCTACAGCTGACCACACCCCACATTGCCCGGACCCCCACAGCTGACCACATCACCCCCACATTGCCCGGACCCCTACAGCTGACCACATCACCCCCACATTGCCCGGACCCCTACAGCTGACCACACCCCACTTTGCCCGGACCCCCACAGCTGACCACACCCCACTTTGCCCGGACCCCCACAGCTGACCACATCACCCCCACATCACCCGGACCCCTACAGCTGACCACACCCCACTTTGCCCGGACCCCCACAGCTGACCACATCACCCCCACATCACCCGGACCCCCACAGCTGAGCACATCACCCCCACATTGCCCGGACCCCCACAGCTGACCACATCACCCCCACATTGCCCGGACCCCCACAGCTGACCACATCACCCCCACATCACCCGGACCCCCACAGCTGACCACATCACCCCCACATTGCCCGGACCCCCACAGCTGACCACATCACCCCCACATTGCCCGGACCCCTACAGCTGACCACATCACCCCCACATTGCCCGGACCCCTACAGCTGACCACACCCCACTTTGCCCGGACCCCCACAGCTGACCACACCCCACTTTGCCCGGACCCCCACAGCTGACCACATCACCCCCACATCACCCGGACCCCCACAGCTGACCACACCCCACTTTGCCCGGACCCCCACAGCTGACCACATCACCCCCACATCACCCGGACCCCTACAGCTGACCACACCCCACTTTGCCCGGACCCCCACAGCTGAGCACATCACCCCCACATTGCCCGGACCCCCACAGCTGACCACATCACCCCCACATTGCCCGGACCCCCACAGCTGACCACATCACCCCCACATCACCCGGACCCCCACAGCTGACCACATCACCCCCACATTGCCCGGACCCCCACAGCTGACCACATCACCCCCACATTGCCCGGACCCCCACAGCTGACCACATCACCCCCACATTGCCCGGACCCCCACAGCTGACCACATCACCCCCACATTGCCCGGACCCCCACAGCTGACCACATCACCCCCACATTGCCCGGACCCCCACAGCTGACCACATCACCCCCACATTGCCCGGACCCCCACAGCTGACCACATCACCCCCACATTGCCCGGACCCCCACAGCTGACCACATCACCCCCACATTGCCCGGACCCCCACAGCTGACCACATCACCCCCACATCACCCGGACCCCCACAGCTGACCACATCACCCCCACATTGCCCGGACCCCCACAGCTGACCACATCACCCCCACATTGCCCGGACCCCCACAGCTGACCACATCACCCCCACATTGCCCGGACCCCCACAGCTGACCACATCACCCCCACATTGCCCGGACCCCCACAGCTGACCACATCACCCCCACATTGCCCGGACCCCCACAGCTGACCACATCACCCCCACATCACCCGGACCCCTACAGCTGACCACACCCCACTTTGCCCGGACCCCCACAGCTGAGCACATCACCCCCACATCACCCGGACCCCTACAGCTGACCACACCCCACTTTGCCCGGACCCCCACAGCTGACCACATCACCCCCACATCACCCGGACCCCCACAGCTGACCACACCCCACTTTGCCCGGACCCCCACAGCTGACCACATCACCCCCACATCACCCGGACCCCTACAGCTGACCACACCCCACTTTGCCCGGACCCCCACAGCTGACCACATCACCCCCACATCACCCGGACCCCCACAGCTGAGCACATCACCCCCACATTGCCCGGACCCCCACAGCTGACCACATCACCCCCACATTGCCCGGACCCCCACAGCTGACCACATCACCCCCACATTGCCCGGACCCCCACAGCTGACCACATCACCCCCACATTGCCCGGACCCCCACAGCTGACCACATCACCCCCACATTGCCCGGACCCCCACAGCTGACCACATCACCCCCACATTGCCCGGACCCCCACAGCTGAGCACATCACCCCCACATTGCCCGGACCCCCACAGCTGACCACATCACCCCCACATTGCCCGGACCCCCACAGCTGACCACATCACCCCCACATCACCCGGACCCCCACAGCTGACCACATCACCCCCACATTGCCCGGACCCCCACAGCTGACCACATCACCCCCACATTGCCCGGACCCCCACAGCTGACCACATCACCCCCACATTGCCCGGACCCCCACAGCTGACCACATCACCCCCACATTGCCCGGACCCCCACAGCTGACCACATCACCCCCACATTGCCCGGACCCCCACAGCTGACCACATCACCCCCACATCACCCGGACCCCCACAGCTGACCACATCACCCCCACATTGCCCGGACCCCCACAGCTGACCACATCACCCCCACATTGCCCGGACCCCCACAGCTGACCACATCACCCCCACATCACCCGGACCCCCACAGCTGAGCACATCACCCCCACATTGCCCGGACCCCCACAGCTGACCACATCACCCCCACATTGCCCGGACCCCCACAGCTGACCACATCACCCCCACATCACCCGGACCCCCACAGCTGACCACATCACCCCCACATTGCCCGGACCCCCACAGCTGACCACATCACCCCCACATTGCCCGGACCCCCACAGCTGACCACATCACCCCCACATTGCCCGGACCCCCACAGCTGACCACATCACCCCCACATTGCCCGGACCCCCACAGCTGACCACATCACCCCCACATTGCCCGGACCCCCACAGCTGACCACATCACCCCCACATTGCCCGGACCCCCACAGCTGACCACATCACCCCCACATTGCCCGGACCCCCACAGCTGACCACATCACCCCCACATTGCCCGGACCCCCACAGCTGACCACATCACCCCCACATCACCCGGACCCCCACAGCTGACCACATCACCCCCACATCACCCGGACCCCCACAGCTGACCACATCACCCCCACATTGCCCGGACCCCCACAGCTGACCACATCACCCCCACATTGCCCGGACCCCCACAGCTGACCACATCACCCCACACATCACCCGGACCCCCACAGCTGACCACATCACCCCCACATTGCCCGGACCCCCACAGCTGACCACATCACCCCCACATCACCCGGACCCCCACAGCTGACCACATCACCCCCACATTGCCCGGACCCCCACAGCTGACCACATCACCCCCACATTGCCCGGACCCCCACAGCTGACCACATCACCCCCACATCACCCGGACCCCCACAGCTGACCACATCACCCCCACATTGCCCGGACCCCCACAGCTGACCACATCACCCCCACATTGCCCGGACCCCCACAGCTGACCACATCACCCCCACATTGCCCGGACCCCCACAGCTGACCACATCACCCCCACATTGCCCGGACCCCCACAGCTGACCACATCACCCCCACATTGCCCGGACCCCCACAGCTGACCACATCACCCCCACATCACCCGGACCCCCACAGCTGACCACATCACCCCCACATTGCCCGGACCCCCACAGCTGACCACATCACCCCCACATTGCCCGGACCCCCACAGCTGACCACATCACCCCCACATTCCCCGGACCCCCACAGCTGACCACATCACCCCCACATTGCCCCGGACCCCCACAGCTGACCACATCACCCCCACATTGCCCGGACCCCCACAGCTGACCACATCACCCCCACATTGCCCGGACCCCACAGCTGACCACATCACCCCCACATTGCCCGGACCCCCACAGCTGACCACATCACCCCCACATTGCCCGGACCCCCACAGCTGACCACATCACCCCCACATTGCCCGGACCCCCACAGCTGACCACATCACCCCCACATTGCCCGGACCCCCACAGCTGACCACATCACCCCCACATTGCCCGGACCCCCACAGCTGACCACATCACCCCCACATTGCCCGGACCCCCACAGCTGACCACATCACCCCCACATTGCCCGGACCCCCACAGCTGACCACATCACCCCCACATTGCCCGGACCCCCACAGCTGACCACATCACCCCCACATTGCCCGGACCCCCACAGCTGACCACATCACCCCCACATTGCCCGGACCCCCACAGCTGACCACATCACCCCCACATTGCCCGGACCCCCACAGCTGACCACATCACCCCCACATTGCCCGGACCCCCACAGCTGACCACATCACCCCCACATTGCCCGGACCCCCACAGCTGACCACATCACCCCCACATCACCCGGACCCCCACAGCTGACCACATCACCCCCACATTGCCCGGACCCCCACAGCTGACCACATCACCCCCACATTGCCCGGACCCCCACAGCTGACCACACCCCCACTTTGCCCGGACCCCCACAGCTGACCACACCCCACTTTGCCCGGACCCCCACAGCTGACCACATCACCCCCACATCACCCGGACCCCCACAGCTGACCACACCCCACTTTGCCCGGACCCCCACAGCTGACCACACACCCCATTGCCGGACCCCTACAGCTGACCACACCCCACTTTGCCCGGACCCCCACAGCTGACCACACACCGAACACCACATCACCCGGACCCCCACAGCTGAGCACATCACCCCCACATTGCCCGGACCCCCACAGCTGACCACATCACCCCCACATTGCCCGGACCCCCCACAGCTGACCACATCACCCCCCACATCACCCGGACCCCCACAGCTGACCACATCACCCCCACATTGCCCGGACCCCCACAGCTGACCACATCACCCCCACATCGCCCGGACCCCCACAGCTGACCACATCACCCCCACATTGCCCGGACCCCCACAGCTGACCACATCACCCCCACATCACCCGGACCCCCACAGCTGACCACATCACCCCCACATTGCCCGGACCCCCACAGCTGACCACATCACCCCCACATTGCCCGGACCCCCACAGCTGACCACATCACCCCCGTACTACAACAACTCCACTGGCTTCCTGTCAAGCAACTTCAAAATACTCCTCACCACTTTCAAAGCACTTCACAACCTGGCCCCTCCTCCACCTATCTGACCTCCTCCACCCTCACACTCGCCCCTCCTCCACCCTCACACTCTCCGTCCCCCCAGCCAGACTCATCACCGTGGGACACAGAGCCTTCAGCCACTCTGCCCCCCAGCTCTGGAACTCTCTCCCCCCTGGCCTCCGTACCCTTGACTCTCTCCCACTCTTCAAATCCAGACTCAAAACCCATCTGTCCAGACTGTCCTACCCCACCTAACACACACACACCCACCATCCCATAATGCACTACTGTTTTATTCTGTTGCTCCTTTTAAATAAAATGTATTATTATTATTATTGGTGACCGCCAGACCTTGAGCGGTCTCCCACTACATCTAGAATGAGAACGCAGCGGTTATGTTTGCCTCCTCAAACTCTTTAAAATGATGTATTGTTTGTGGTGTAGGCTGCCATGGATGTTCCTGACCCTAACCCTCAGGAAGTACGACCACATTAGTCCTGACTAGAACCAGGAAGTACGACCACATTAGTCCTGACTAGAACCAGGAAGTACGACCACATTAGTCCTGACTAGAACCAGGAAGTACGACCACATTAGTCCTGACTAGAACCAGGAAGTACGACCACATTAGTCCAGTCCTCAGGTCTCTGCACTGGCTTCCTGTGGCTCAGAGAATAGACTTTAAAACAGCTCTGCTTGTTACAAGTCTCTCCATGGCCTCGCACCAAAATATATTAGTGACATGTTAGTCCCATATGAACCAGCCCGGACTCTGAGGAGCACAGGGACTGGACTCCTGCTGGGACTCTGAGGAGCACAGGGACTGGACTCCTGCTGGGACTCTGAGGAGCACAGGGACTGGACTCCTGCTGGGACTCTGAGGAGCACAGGGACTGGCCTCCTGCTGGGACTCTGAGGAGCACAGGGACTGGACTCCTGCTGGGACTCTGAGGAGCACAGGGACTGGACTCCTGCTGGGACTCTGAGGAGCACTGTGGGACTGGACTCCTGCTGGGACTCTGAGGAGCACAGGGACTGGACTCCTGCTGGGACTCTGAGGAGCACAGGGACTGGACTCCTGCTGGGACTCTGAGGAGCACAGGGACTGGACTCCTGTTAGTGCCCAGAGTCAAAACTAAACATGGGGAGGCTGCTTTTCAGATTCATGCTGCTAAAATCTGGAACAATCTTCCTGAAGATGTGAGACAGGCCTCCTCTCTGACAATGTTTAAAACCAGGTTAAAAACAGTTCTGTTTAGCTGTGCTACATCGCATCTTTCTTTTTAATGTTCTGTGATTATTTATGATTTTAATGCTATCTTGTTCAGCACTTTGAGTTGCCTTCTGTATGAATTGTGCTATACAAATAAACTTGCCTCATCTGCTGCCATGAAATATAAATGGATCAACTTCATAAAATTAGGAAATATTTGCAAGAGGGGAAGCTACATTATTCATAATTACTAACACATGTTGTTTATTCCAACAGAAAGAAATGTCTAAAAGGGAACTTCTAAAGTGAAACATGAACCGTGTGAGTCTCTATTTGATGCTTTGAGGTGAGAGCTGATTGGCTGAGTGAGAACGATCCACTCTTCTCCATGTTTCTGCCTGAAAATCAAGATCTATAGCTGTGCCACAAATGTATGCATGTGAAATGTTCTGATACTTAAGAGAAACAAGGTAGATTTGTTTTGTTATGAAAGTTTAGTACCATTGTTTTTAGTCTATATCAAACCTGCACTTAAGAATCACTCTTCTCATCTAGATTCTTGCATGTTTTGGGAGCCACTCTCTTCTCTCATTCTTGTGCCCTTGTTTGTCTTGTATATTATGAGAACCACCTCTGCCTTTTGAAACCGCCTCACAGCTAAATAAACATTACATAACACATCATGTATATCCACCTACTTAGTTTCTCTGAGCTGTTTTTGTTCATTCTTTGTGTTTAGTGTGTATGAATGTGTGTGTGTGTGAATGTGTGTGTGTGTGCATGTCTTAGAGCTGCACTTCTCATCCATCCAGCACTTTCTCCCTGTATTCATTATTCATAGCTGCTCTCTATTGTCAGCTCTCGCTCCACTGCTAAAGGATCAAAGACATGCAAACAATAGCCAGGAAAAGGAAGCAATACTAGGGCTGAGTTTAGACGTTTCCAGGCTGCGTAGGTTTACTCTGGGTGCTCCGGTTCCCCCTACCACTAAAAACATGCACAATAGGTCTGAGTATGTCATGAGCGGGAGAAAGGATGGCGTTGGCTGGGGCTTGGATGCGCCATTTTGTCCGGCGTCTTGCTTCCGTCATCACCGTGTGTGGAGAGAAGGAAAAAAAATCTCTGAATATTGTGAAGCGCTTAGAGTGATCTTGGTCTGTAAAATGTGCTATATTAATAAACATTACTTGCTTTTTTTGTTGCAATATTAATGTGAATTTTATATTATTATATTTGATCAAATTCTAACTTTGTCATTGCAAGGTTTTGTGATTAGATTGAAATGGAAAAAAACAAGAATTCGACCAATTTTGCAATAAGGTTGGAACGTTGCGAAACATACAAGTGAAAACAAGTGAAGGGGGTTGATTGCGCAGTAGCTCTAATATCTGGTCTAACTTCCCCATTTTCTCTTCTTGGTGAATACAACCTCACAAGGACTTAAGTACAAGGTATTGCCAAAGTGTTAAACAGTGACCTTTCTTTGCGACCGATGACTTGGACCAAAGCTTTTCAATTATCCCATGACTGCTGCCGTTTTTGATGATTTCACTGATTCTCAAGACCCACAGAATATTATCTGCTATGACTATGGGAATTATGAAACCAGATTCTGAAAGACTGGATTGTCTACTTTCATCAGCAAAAATAAGTTTGTTTCTTGCTAGTTTTGTTGTCCTGTAATCTTCAGCCGAATAGAGGGAAGTTTGACAGAAATGACCAGTCTCAGACAAATATGTCAATGGCAGTCAGTGAGTTAACCCAGGCAGTAAAACATGGACCAGGACAAGTGGAGTGGCCAAGCTGACCCCTGTCCCGCCACACAACATGTCCTTTAGTAGATACATTAACGGCACATTGAGGGATTAATGTTCAATGTGTAAGTGCACTCCCAGGAACAGGAACTGATGGATTACAGTAAATACCGTGAACAGAAGAAGAAGAGATGAAAACAGGAAGGACTATGGCGTGTTGCGTGATAGTATTTGCCCTTCAAGCTTCGTAGATCTGTCAATTTATAACTACTCGTAGCTTTGGGCCTTGTTTACTTTGTGTTTCAGAAGTACAATTAAAACGTTTCCAAAGAAGGAGGCTATGGGCGGCGTGAACAAACTCTGAGATTACGATGGGTTCAAATGTCGACTGAGTTTAGCAGTTACACATTTGAGCAGCTTTCTTCTCCCCCTGCAGGGTTAGGGCACGTGGACAATCACAACATACTGTCTGTGCATTTCAAGGTCTTGGCCAGCGCAGTAAACACACAACCGAAGATGTAAGGGCTCTGATTGGGAAAGGCACACACTTTTGCAAGGCACTGTTGTACACTTTCTGTATACTTCACAATTCTCTGCCACATTGCTTTGTGATTTTGTCTTTCAGATTGAATAACAAAAAATATCCTAATGTTTGTGGTCATAACATGAAAAATGTGGAAAAGTGAGAATATTTTTGGAAGGCGCTGTAAATAAGGACATGGAGAGATAACATCTGAGCAACAGAATCTGGAATCGTCAAGTACGTCTTCATTGACCTACTTTGAAAAATGTCTTACAAATCTCTTATATGGGCTTATTCAACCAGAACCGTATCTTTCACACTGCACACTGCATTTTCTGCTGTTGCATAAGGATTGCCATGGTAACGTGCATGAAGTTTGCATACAGAAGCAAGCGTTTTAAGTGCCACAAATGGAAGTGACTTACTGTAGGTAGGACAGCACAATACATGAGCCTGTGTTTGTTTTGGCACTGGCATTGCAAGGGTCACAGGTCTCAAGGAGCAAGTCTAACGCAGAACTTAAAATTCGATGTGACTGCTGCTGAGTTTGTGGCCTCTTCAGTGAATAAACAGGCCACATGGAGCAGTGACTATCTGCCCTAGTCTTTAACCTGTTCATATTGTGGATGGGTTCATGTTTCACCAAGTGAAACTGAAACCAATTTAAACTGGCAGCTCAATCAAAATTGCGAAATGCATGTACACAGAGACAATAGTGATGTGAGCCTGCATGTGTACTGAAACAAGAGTGGTCTACATGTTCAGTAAGTGTCCTTCAGTTTCCAACCCCAAGTCCAGCTCTGTCCTGTCCCCGGACACAGTGCAGCAGGTGGGAATAAAGGATCTCTCTCTCTTTGCAATTACTGTGTTTGAACATGTTTTTATGGTCCAGCGTGGATATGCTGCGCATTGATGACGCTCCTCCTGATCCCACTTTTCATCGCGGGTCTAAATAATGGTGAAATGGCTTGATATGGTTCTAAATATCGTCAAGAAAAAGTGTATCAATATAAACAGAGCACGGAATAGTATTTAGTCTTTTCAGCTGGTTGCATCTGAACCCTGCCAGGTCTCTCATCATGGTTTTATTGTTTTACTGGTGTGTGTGTGTGTGTGTGTGTGTGTGTGTGTGTGTGTGTGTGTGTGTGTGTGTGTGTGTGTGTGTGTGTGTGTGTGTGTGGTTTGGGGTATGGTCTGTTGGGTGGTCTGGGGGAGGGGTCTTGGGTCGGCGGGATTGTTTTTAACCAAACTGTAAAGCACTTTGTGTTGCATCTTATGTATGAAAAGCGCTTTATAAATAAAATTTGATTGATTGATTGATTGAGGGGTTTGAACCTTCACAGCAGAAATGACCACTGCAGTCACATTAAAAACCTTAGCTTTCTGGAGGGAGTCAGATTAAAAAATTAGGTTCTTCTGGTTAGTCTCAATTTTCTACTTTTGTATCGTCCTATAAGTGCTACTCT